GAAGTTATGATTTGTTATAATTTGGCTTGCGGTATCGATTTTTTTCCTTATAAATTAAATTATCTCCGTAACTCTTCATCGTAAGCATACAAGTTGGTTATGAAAGTTACTTTAAAATTTTGTATTTCATGCGAATTCGTCGTAAAAATATACCATTTCATTTAAAATAACAATGTCGGCATCAACTTCCGGTATAATCGGAAGCGGCCGACAGTTGAAATTATTTTACAATTAGTTAAAAAGATCATCCTCGATAATCCCTATTGTCAAATTTTTTATATCTCTTGATCTCTTAGATACTTAATTTCCCTAAAACGTCTAATGTACCAATTAGTTTGAAGAACCCTGTGAAAGCTGTGCATACGTGTGTATAGTAAGGGAAAACATTCCCCGAACATAAAGTTACACATGACTATACATTTTTGTCATGTCGCAGGATCGAAAATGCATAATTTCTTGAACATGTGAAATACATGTTTTCAAGTCTATCTGAAAACATTTTTTGCTTTTCTAAAAACTTTCCTAAACTAACCGAACTCTCACAATCTTTTGAACAAAATGCAACACCTTCAAAAGGGTTTATTATATACTCAATGTATCTATCACGAACGTGTACATACACAACAACGAAGTGAAGGAAATTGAAGAATGAAGATAAGTAGAAAATACCGAGTTTTGTAAAGGATTGATTGAAGGGATAGCGTTAGATTGAATTAAGAGAATCGTCTGAGATGGAATGAATGAATGGAATTCACTGAATCGGTAGAATTGACTGAACCTCCTAATTTTAGGTGGAAAGGCTTTTAAAAAGTTGAAGGTTTAGAGGAAATGTAAAGAGTAGGGGGATCCAATTCTTTGGCGTTATTCGAAGGAATACCAGGAACTTAAGGTAGGTAAGTGACTTTGACAAAGGTTATTGGCATAAAGATGTTTAATGGACACAGGATGCAGAAAAGGGTCACTTTATACAGCCGAGGGTAATTTGGTAAAAGTATGAAGTTTCAAATAACACCAACTAAGGGTACAGTAGAAGAGGTTCGAAATGGAAAAAAGGAGTTAAAAATAATGAAACTGAAAGAGAAATAATTACGTTGAAAATAACCACGAGAAAAATGAATTCCGAAAACTACAAAAACAATGCTATTAGAGCAAGATTCCAAAGCTGCCAGACATTACTTATTAACTGACCAATAAAATGGGTGGGAAAGAATAGTACTATGTACTTAAACTAGAACAACCCACATCCTTAACTAGCTTCCATAGAGTTATCTGTTCTCCTATTATTTCTGGTACCTCTTCATTTCTAACCTTCTCTATTTATGGTATCCTCGTCATTCGCCTGTAACACATTTCGAACGCTTCTAACCTTTTCTTTTCCGCCGCGCCCACTGTCCATGTTTCGCACCCTTGCAGCGCCGCGCTCCAAACATACACCTTTAACAACAACCTTTTTCGAATATATAAATTAATCGTTTGCGAGCATAGAAGTGACTTGTTTTTATTGAAGACGACTTGACCCTGCGCTATCCTCTGCTTAATATTCCTACTAGTCCTTCCGTCCTGACTTATCTGACTTCCTAGACACTTAAAATCGGCCACTTCTAGTTTTTCGTCACTTATCTTTATATTCGCTCTTTCCCTATTTTGAGTCCCTTGCATGCCAGTATTTTTGTCTTATTTTATTTATTTTCATACAATACTCTTTTATCAATATTCAATTTTATTTAAAGTTATCTCTAACTCCTTCTTGCTAGATGTTAATACTGCTATATCATCTGTACATCTAAGCATACTAATCTTTTGTCCCTGTATATCTGTTCCTACAGTTGTACTGTCTTTAATGATATTGATCGCATCTTAAATGTATAGATTAAAAAGTAACGGTGACAGTATGCATCCTTGTCTGACTCCCTTCCTAATATTTACTTCTTTACGTTACAGCCCCAGCTCTATAACTGGCGGTAATTTCTGCCAGACGCTTCAAAAGTCGCAAAAATAAACATCGTCTAATGCATGAGACTTGCTGAAGCTCGAAGGCACTAAAAGTAGAAATAATGCTTACAGGTAGAATTAATGTTTAAAGAAACTGTAGGTAGGTATGTAAAAAATTAATATTTGATGAAAAATCCACGCTATTTAATTGCTGCTCTCGTAATCGTCGTGGCATCGATTCCATCAAATTACGAGTAAAATCCATCAGGTTCAATTTTGTGTCATTCCTCTTGAAGCGTAGTATGTCGGCAATATGTTTATGGTCATTATCTTTTTGGAAATAATAATTTGATCCACTGTTTCAAATTATGTTTGGGTATATTTTATATTTATATTTTAGTGACCTTTGACCTTGAATATCTTAAGACACACATGTTATGTGACTTTTGGTACAACTTTTATAATGTCAAAATAAAGGTTTGTATATATTTATAGCTTACATCTCTGTTATTAGGGGTACCATTTAAAAAATTAAAATTGAGGGTGATTACACAGAAGCAGTTACCCCGTTGTTTATGGGTTTTGAAAGTTTACTACCTGACTAATGAAATTGGTTTTTGGATATCTCTATTCTTTCACTTCCTGCAGTATGACTAGAAATTATGGGACACCGTGTATACATACATATTATACGTTTATTTATCTTTTTGTTAGGATTATCTCTTTCTTTAGTTATAAAATGTTCCAGAAATCAAAAGGAAACATTTATAACGATGTCGTTAGATTAATAATTCAGAATCATAACAAAACAAATTGTTTTTCGGTTATCATTTTCCGTTTTAACGCGAAAGTTAAAATTCATGAGTTGATAAATATACATTTAAATTGGACGTACATTCATACTTAGATATACTCAAAAATTCTCTTTGCGACTCATTTCCTTCTGAAATACATGAATGTTTGTATTTGTGGAGATATTTTGCTGCACTACTAAAAAGAAAAAGTAAATTCCAGCCTGTAAAATATTCAAATGTATATTTGCTTTCGCTGACATATCGCACAACGAAATCAATAAATTACATTTTCTATTTCACAACAGGCACGTGCTATACGGTATACGCAATATTTTATTTTTTATCTACACTTCTAGAAAGCCTATAAAACTGACATCTCATTTATGATTTATCTCACAATCGGAAATTATATTCCATTATGATTACTTAAATATCACTCTGCCAAAATAAAACGAGAAATATTAGTGTTGTACCTCGTGGATGTTTGTGTATACAGAGGAAAAAAAATTTGTTCGTAATATTAAATAATTGTATTTATTGACTGATATATCTTTGAGACAAGGAATCATT